ACAGGCATGCGCCACCATGCCCAGCTAATGTTTTGTATTTTTAGTAGAGACGGGGTTTCACCATGTTGACCAGGATGGTCTCGATCTCTTGACCTGCTGATCCACCCGCCTCGGCCTCCCAAAGTGCTGGGATTACAGGCTTGAGCCACCGCGCCCGGCAGTATTTCTAGTCTATCTGAAATCCATTTTGGCTATGGCTTAGGAAAAAAAATTCTACATTCTAAAATATTCACTCAACAAGTATTTCCTAAGTACAATGTGCCAGGCACTAGGGAAATAACAGTGAATAAGACAAAATTTAAAAAAAAAAAAATCCTTGAGAAAAGAGACACAGTAGACAAATAATAAACCAGATAAATTCAGATTATGATACAAAATGGCATCTCATCGAACAGTGATATGATACAGAACAATTTTTGATACAGGGATCAGGAAAAGTTTCTCATGGGAGGTAACATTTAAGTTGAGACTTCAAGAAAAAACTCAGCCATGACAAGGGTAAAAGTGTTCAGGTAAAAGGCTGAATATCAAACTCTGAGGCAGAAAAGTTGGCAAGCATGCAGAATAGAAAGGAGTGCAGGGTGGCTAGTTTTGCCACCTTATCAGGTATCCCTTTAAAAATAGGATTTTTTGGCCAGGCACAGAGGCTCGCACCTGTAATCCTCGCACTTTGGGAGGCTCAGGCCAGCGGATCACTTGAGGCTGTGAGTTTGAGAGCAGCCTGGCCAACATGGTGAAACCCTGTCTCTACTAAAATTACAAAAATTAGCAAGCTGTGGTGGTGCATGCCTGTAATCCCAGCTACTTGGGAGGCTGAGGCAGGAGAATTGCTTGAACCAGAGAGGCAGAGGTTGCAGTGAGCTGAGATCATACATTGCACTCCAGCCTGGGGGACAAGAGTGAAACTCCATCTCAAAAAAAAAAAAAGATTTTTTTTTTATAAATCTAAAATCACAAAAAGACAAATTTTAAAATGATAATTACTATAAAAAAATCACAGCTATAACTAGTGTAAACTTCATTTTTAGGCAATTGCTATTTATGACTTCATTATTTTCCTGCTAAAATTCAGAATAAAATAAAAAGTCATTTTGGAACTTGACATTTCTAAAAAGTTTTTTAAAAATACTGGATGGAAACTGATGTTTTCCTTTACTGCCTTTGCTACAGAATAACATTCTAAATTAACATTTCTAAGCTATATACAATTATCTCACAAAAAAATTTGGAGATTTTTTTAACATTTTCACACATTCTAAATTGGTGGCAAAATTTATTCTTCTCTAATTTTGCATTAAACTTCACGAAAGTACGTTATACCCTAGTGATTCAATCTTCTCAAATTGTCTCAAGCAACCAACTTAATCCTTTTTAGAGAAATATATTTACATCAAAAAAGCAAATTTAGTTGATCATTACTCATGGATTCTGCCTACTCCCTAAAGTTTATTTGTGACCCCCAAATCAGTATTGGCTTTACTTTCATGGTCATTTGCAGACATACATAGAGCAACAAAAAGTGAATTGCATAAAGCACATGTTCTCAAGGCAACGCTCTTGCCTTCTTGTTTTAGCTTACGCTGTAAACAATCGTCTTTTTCATGGTCGTTTAGTGCCACATTTTTCATTTCTGTGCTTTTTACTGGGAATTTCACTGTTTAAAATGTCCCCAAAGAGGCTCGGCGCAGTGGCTCATGCCTGTAATCTCAACACTCTGGGAGGCTGAGGTGGGCGGATCACCTGAGGTCAGTTCAAACCAGCCTGGCCAACATAGAAAAACTCCATCTGTAATAAAAATACAAAAATTAGCTGGGCATGGTGGCACACACCTTTAATCCTAGCTATTTGAGAGGATGAAGTGGGGGAATCACTTGAACCCAGGCGGCAGAGGTTGCAGTAAGCCGAGACCGCACCACTATACTCCAGCCTGGGAAACAGAGTGAGACTCGGTCTCAGAAAAAAAAAAGAATAAATAAGAGGTAAAAAAGTGGAGACTGTGTATGTAGCAAACGCCACTGCACTTCAGCCTGGGCAACAGAGTGAGATTCTGTATCAAAAAGAAAAAAAAAGTCCCCTAAGTATAGTGCCGTCTAGTGTTCCCAAGTGCAGGAAGACTGCGATGTTCCTTATAAAGAAAGTGCAAGTGTTAGGTAAGTTTTTTACAGGTAAGAGTTATATTGCTGTTGGCTATGAGTTCAATGTTAATGAATCACCAATACATATTAAATAAAGCGTCTTGGCTGGGTGTGGTGGCTCATGCCTGTAATCCAAGCACTTTGGAGGCCAAGGTGGGCAGATCACCTGAGGTCAGAAGTTCAAGACCAGCCTGACCAACATGGTGAAACCCTGTCTTAAAAATAAATAAATAAAGCATCTTTAAGCAGAAACATACATAAAACAAGATTATGTATTCATGAAATAATGAAAATGTTCTGACCACAGACTTGTAAGAAAGAACTTAACCCTGTATTGTATTTCCCCTAGGAGCAAGGCTTATTTACTAATTATGTGTTTTCAGTGACTTCACAGAACTACTGCAAATAATCAGAATCAACTGTAATTTTCAACTTGATGAGAGAAGAGTTGGTTTCCCAAACCAAATCATTTTTTTGAGAAAAAGTTTTGCTCTGTCGCCCAGTCTATAGGGCCGGGGCACAATCTCTGCTCACTGCAACTTCCACCTCACAGGTTCAACTGACTCTCCTGCCTCAGCCTCCCCAGTAGGTGAGATTACAGGTGCCCACCACCACACCCAGCTAATTTTTATGTATTTTATTAGAGACAGGGTTTCGTCATGTTGGCCAGGCTAGTCTCAAAGTCCTGACCTCTGGTGATCTGCCCACCTTGGCTTCCCAAAGTGCTGGGATTACAGGCACGTGCCACCATTACAGGCACGTGCCCAGCTAATTTTTGTATTTTTAGTAGAGACGGGGTTTCACCGTGTTGACCAGGATGGTCTCGATCTCTTGACCTCGTGATCCACCCGTCTCGGCCTCCCAAAGTGCTGGGATTACAAGCTTGAGCCACCGCGCCCGGCCTTCATAGTCTTATATGGTATCATAAAACCTTGTACTCATAGTTTTCATTAAAGCTTTTTACTTTCTTTCTTTTTTATTTATTTATTTATTTATTTTTTTGAGATGGAGTTTCACTCTTGTTGCCCAGGCTGGAGTATAATGGCAGTATTTCAGTTCACTGCAAACTCCACATCCCGGGTTCAAGCGGTTCTCTGCCCACCTCGCAGGTAGCTAGGATTACAGGCTGCCACAACACCTGGCTAATTTTTTGTATTTTCAGTAAAGACAGGGTTTCACCATGTTGGTCAGGCTGGTCTCAAACTCCACCCGCCTCGGCCTCCCAAAGTGCTGGGATTACAGGTGTGAGCCACCGCGCCCAGCTATTTTTATTATTTTAGAAAATAACAATTATCTTCAAACTTAATCACATTTCAAAGAATCATTTTAGTAGGTACAATAAGCTATTTATATTTTTCTTCAGAATCACATGAGATATTCAAATAAAAGTTGAATTTTACCTTCTGAGAGTAGTGCATTGTTCATTTACATTCAAATGTATACATTATTTACTATTGTATTCTTTAAAAGACAATGTTGTACCGTAATGAAAGTCAAAAGATCAATGACATACTGAAAGAAAACACTTACAACATATCATAAAGGGCTAATAATGCTAATATATAAAGAACTCTTAGAAATTAAGAATTAAAAAGCTGGACAAATGGTAGATAGAAAAGATAGTTCATGGAAAAAAATAAACAAATGATGTTTAAACATATGAAAAGATGTTCAATTTCACCTGTACTACTAAAAATACAAATTTAAAATGGAGTGAAAAGGTCGGGCGTGGTTGCTCATGCCTGTAATCCCAGCACTTTGGGAGGCCAATGTGAGTGGATCACTTGAGGTAAGGAGTTCAAGACCAGCCTGACCAATATGGTGAAATCCCATCTCTACTAAAAATTTAAAATTAGCCAGGTGTGGTGGGCACACCAGTTATCCCAGCTACTTGGGAGGCTGAGGCCTAATCACTTGAACCCAGGAGGTGGAGGAGGTTGCAGTGAGCTGAGATCGCACCACTGCACTTTAGCATGGGCAACAAGAACAAAACTCTGTCTCAAAAAGAAACCAAAAACAAATAAATTAAATACACTGAAAAGCCATTTCTCATCTATTATACTGGCAAAAATTCAAAAGCTGGGCAATACACTATTGGCAAGGCTGTGGAGAAACAGCCAGTCTTATAGATTACTGATGGGAATGAGAAATGATTAATTCCTATGAATAATTATATATAAATATATATATTTTTATACGGAGTCTGGCTCTGTCACCCAGGCTAGAGTGCAGAAATTCCCCTGCCTCAGCCTCCTGAGTAGCTGGGATTACAGGTGCACATGCACGCACCACCATGCCCAGCTAATTTTTTGTATCTTTAGCAGAGACCCGGTTTCACCATGTTGGTCAGGCTAGTCTCGAACTCCTGACCTCGTGATCCACCCACCTCGGCCTCTCAAAGTGCTGGGATTACAGGTGTGAACCACTGCTCCTAGCCTCCAGGATATATTTTTAAGTGAAAAAAGCAAGGTGTTAAAGAATATGAATTTAGTATTTTACTGAATATGGAGAAATAAGAATTTCTATATGGAGCTATTTATTTTTATAAAAAGAACCATAAGTATATTGGTTGCCTAGAGCAGGTGGGTAGGAATGTGACAAAGTATAAGAAAGGAATCTGAGAATGTTTCTATACAGCTTTGACTTTTGAACTCAGTTAATATTTTACATTGTCAGAAACAAATTGGGCCAGGTGCGGTGGCTCACACCTGTAATGCCAGCACTTTGGGAGGCCAAGGTAGGCAGATCTCCTGAGGCCAGGAGTTCAAAACCAGCCTGGCCAACATGGCGAACTCCGTCTCTACTAAAAATACAAAAAATTAGCCACGCATGGTAGCAGGCGCCTGTAGTCCCAGCTACTCGGGAGGCTGAGGCAGGAGAATGGCCTGAACCCAGGAGGCAAAGGTTGCAGTGAGCCAAGATCACACCGCTGTACTCGAGCCTGGGTGACAGAGCAAGACTCCATCTCAAAAAATCAAATCAATCAATCAATCAACAAGGATGGACAAAAATAGCCCTCACATAGACTAAAAATAATGAACTTAACTACATTTATATAAAATGCTAATATAATCATCCTAAGGAAAAAGTAACACAATTTTTGAACTAGTATTTTAATTCTACACTCTCAATAGAATATATTCTGAAAACAAAAACTACAAAGGATTTGTGAACTTTATGAATTTGTAAAGCTTTTTTACTAGCAGTAACAATGATATAACAATTTGGAAGCTCTCTAGTATTGCAGATTTGAGGAAGTATACCGATACTGGAACCCAGGATCCTTTCATATTATGGGAGTATAAAAATGCAATTATGAACTGGGCACGGTTGCTCATGGCTCACACCTGTAATCCCAGCACTTTGGGAGGCCAAGGCAGGCAAATCACAAGGTCAGTTCAAGACCAGCCTGGACAACATAGTGAAACCCTGTCTCCACTAAAAATACAAAAAAATTAGCCGGGCGTGGTGGCAGTCACCTGTAACTTGGGAGGCTGAGGCAGGAGAATCGCTTGAACCCAGGTGGCGGAGGTTGTAGTGAGCTGAGATTATGACATTGCACACCAGCCCGGGGACAAGAGTTAAACTGTTTTAAAAAAAATAAAAGAGAAACACAACTATGGAATGGAAGAAAGAGGAAAAGAACTCTATGGTATAGAACTGAAGTTAGGAGCATTAATATAAACTCACTTTTAAAAAAAATTATTCCCTACTACCTGTCTAAAAATGAATAATGATAAGACTAGATGTAATTAGTTTGGCATGGTGGGGCACACCTGTAATCCCAGCCACTCCAGCCTGGGTGACAGTGAGACTGTCTCAAAAAAAAAAAAAAAAAAAAGATTGACATATTCATACACATACATACATATATATGTATATTTTTTGACATATTCACTTAAATATGCTAATATATGCTTATATATGCATAGAATATTTCTGGAGGGGTATCTTAGAAGAAAACTGTAGCTAATTCTGAAGGGTAGACTGAGTGATGTGGTTGGATGGGGACTTACTTTTCATTGTATTACTCTCTATTAATACTGGTTTTATTAAGTACATGTATTATCCATTTAAACACTATGTAATTCTTTTTTTTTTTTTTTTTTTTTTTTTTTTT